TCATAACCTAACCAAACCAACCAAACTTGCTGATATGAAAAAAATTGTTGAGAAAAAAATATTGCTACCAGCGGGATTTGAACCTGGTACATTTGAATTATCAGCCCGCCATGTTATCCACTACACCACCCAGGCCGATGGCTCAAAACCGTATCGTTGCGGTATTGGTGACGTCAGCAGTTAGTGACGTCAAACGGCACCTGAGAAATCTTCCGTGTGCCGTTTTGGTCCACCACCAATCTTTCGTAAATACACAAATACCAGCTGCTTCCAAACAAAACAGCTGTTACAACACAACACCACTTGCGACGTTGCCACTTCGAAGGCCGCGCCTGGAGTTAAAGGCGGCCGTGCTTCACCTCTCTCGCCCAATGCCCTCTATATTTCTATTCTGTGCTCACTGATTAATGGTGGTCGCTTCTTCTTGTCTCTGATTGTTCTTTCTCTCGCTCTGCTCTCGGGCTCGGCTGCACGATTTTTATTTCAGCTGCAGTTTTTTAATACGGACAAAATGAAAGTTTAAAAATTAGAAATTAAAAAAAAATTATTGTAGGCCTAAAACAAAAAAATATATAGTTAATTTTTTAATTAAACTGTCATAACCTAACCTAACTAACCAACTTGCTGATAATGACCAAATTGAATGAAGGTTTACTAATAGAAAAAATAATTCTGTTCATAAAATAAAACTATAAATGCCTCAAATTAAATTTTATATTTTTTAATTATAAAATTAAATTATGATAACCTAACCAAACTTGCTGATAATGAAAAAATTGAATGAAGGTTTACTAATCAAAAAAAGTTCTGTTCATAAAATAAAACTATTAATAGCTCAAATTCAATTTTATAAGGTTTTAATTATAAAATTTAACTGTTATAACCTAACAAAACTTGCTGATAATGCAAAAATCTTAGACAAAAAGTTTGTGCCCCCGATGGGTTTCGAACCGGTACCATAAGTTTCGAAGCCCGGCTCGCTATTAGTGATGTGACGAGTCGAGTACTTGACTCGTTGAGTATCGAGTCCAATGAAGTTTCGAGTCGACTCGATACCGAATCGGCGATACTCGAGTACTATTACTCGTGAACTAAAGCTTACTAGATCCGCCGCTACGAGTCCATAGCGCTTGGGTTGGGTGCATGTCTACTACTCGAGTCGAGACTCGGATGTTGTTCTAGATTTTGCCACTACGAGTCGACAGCGCTTGTGTGCTTGACACTGACAGTTCGTACACTGCTGAATGTTCAAGATATAGTTTCAAAACTATCCGCTACGAGTACATATCGCTCGAGTAATTTGCTTGCTTACTCGAGTCAAGACACTGTTTGTTATTAATCTAAGTTTTATAATGACGAATAAAATCCATAATTAATTATCAACTCAATGTGAGATAAATAACCTATCTCGCTCTCATCTTAAATCTACACAGAGTATAAAACGAGTCCGAGCCAAGTCTGTCCGACTCGAGTAAAGGGACTCGAGTCCGAGTCAAACAAGTTCCATTTCCAGTATTCGCACGGCAGCTACGAGTCAACAGAGCTTCGGTGCTATACAGGTAAGAATCGAGTCCAGTACTCGAGTACCGACTCGAGTAGTTGTGGTATCGAGTCGAATTGACTCGAGTAGGGAAAGTACTCGACTCGTCACATCACTACTCGCTATCAACTAGAACACCGAGAACGATGGCTTCATTCCGTTTCATTGCGCTAATGGTGTTCCCTCAGCCAATAGAATGCTCTCATTTTGTTCTTATTAAAATAACTGCAGCTGAAATAAAAATTGTGCGGCTCGCCTCCGCTCGGCTCTAGCTGTCTAGCTAGGTTTGGTAGCTTTTGGTAGCTAGTTGGTCGTTGGTGTTGGTCCTGGTTGTTTTGGTTTTGTTGTGTTGTGTTGTTGTGTTGTGGTTGTGTTAGTTGCGTTGCGTTGTTGTTGCTGTTTTTGCGTTGATGTCGGCTTTTTAGGTATCTGTATTAGTTAGTATTTTGTAATCGCTTAAACTTCCAGTATTTATTTATGTTAACATTTTTACAGACTTGTAATGACAGTGATAATGAAAGTCATTGACGATGTCTAATTTAAGTGACATTTCTACTCCTCTCAAGCTGGAGAGTAAGACTACGTTTTCTCCGGTATTAGGTTAGTTTCAGTAGTTGGGAAGTGGATCGCTCTAAATTCAAAGGATTTTAAGTTAACTTTTATACTTTATACTTAAGATGGGACGCCACTATGAGCGTATGTTAACCCAAAATATGAGTGAAGGATGAGTGGCGTGATCTTGTAGTCTTGTTAGTGACTAAGCCGACACATTCCTTAGATAGATACAGCTTTAATTGCCCATACAGCTAATGGCAACTAAGGGACCTACAGTTTATAGTGGAATCCGAACCACATGTTTGCTTTGTTATCAACAAATTGGTCTTTTATTATTTTATGGCCTAAGTTATTATCAGGATAGTAACCTAAGTTACTGCAGATAACCTAGTCGTAGTACTCACTAGTGTGGACGTTAATCCACACGATGGAGTATCACATAATCTTAGTAGGCCTACTAGCCTATACTTGTTTACCAACTATTCCTACCCTAGGCTATTTAATTCAGTTAACTTATTATTCACTTTCCCCAACTCACCCAAAACACCCTTTTAGCCTATTAGGCCTTAGACGTTTTTAAACTGTTCCTAGACACCATTACCGGTACTACAACTTTATCAAATGAATTTTTGGTCACCGAGACTTACAGTAGACACCATGCCTATATTACTAGACACCACCCTTGAAAAACTCGCTTAAACATCATGACAGGGCAGTTTACTACTTTTACTAGACACCTCACCAAGATTACTAGACACCAACCTTAGATTACTAGACACCATATCTAGATTACTAGACGACAAGCCCAATTTACTATACACCAGCCCTGAAAAACTCGCTTAAACATCGTGACAGGGCAGTTTACTATACTAAACACCTCACCAAGATTACTATACCACACCCAGATTACGGTTAGTTTCTAGGTTATGGAGTCTAGTAATGGTAATGGTGTCTAGTAATCTAGGCGTGGTGTCTAAAGAAAGCCGCGGCGACAAAAAAGTCATTTAAGAAAGTGGAAATTATTGCAACTAGGGTTACCGGTACCAATTTTTTTTTTTTTTTTTTTTTAAGGGAGAGGAGGGAAAATGCTTTTACGCACACAGGTAGCCAGCCTGTAGTGTGAGACTGCTGAATCTATCGCAGGCTACTCACTAAAAACCCCCTCTACTCTGTTGGACACAGACCTGGAATTGTTTGTCACATTACTTCAAGTCAGGCCAACATGTTACCTCACCGGGCTCTCACCGTTTTTGGCATTTGGATACTTCATGACCTACACCGCATCCCGGTCAAGGTCGAGCTTCTTGGCGCGGAGAATACCCTGGATGTAATGTGACACACAGGTCCAATTGTCCTCACCCCCCTGTCATCATCGGTGTGACCGTGTCCACTGACAGCAGTTCTACTAACTGTTGAGCCTCCAGGCGGGGCCTTTCCCAACGCTGGCAGTGGAAAAAGGTATGTTCCACGTCATCGGGAATGCCTGGGCAGTATATGCAATCGGGTGACACGGCTTTGCCCATCCTGAAAAGGTACGACCGGAAAAAGCCGTGACCCGTCAGAAATTGGGTGAGGTAGAAGTCCACCTCTCCGCACCGCCGATTAACCCAAGGTTGGACTTGCTTTATCAGTCGCCTGGTCCAGCGTCCCCGAGTCTCCTGTTCCCAGCTCTCCTGCCACAGCTGGTAGGTGCGGGTGCGTTCCTCTGTTCGTGCCTGGTCCTCCCCACGGCGCTGATAAATTGCTTAAATTGCTCCGCTCCCAAAAGTTTGACGGGGATGACTCCAGCAACCACCAGGATGGCGGGTTCGGATACTAGACTTCGGTCAGGATGTTCGGTAGGCGGATGCAACTCTAAGTGCTGCCTGACGCTGCACTCGGGCGAGCCGCATCCTATATACCTTCTTATTTAGAGCGTCTGCCCACACCTCAGCACCGTACAAGAGTACGGACTGGACAGAAGACATTAACAGCCTTCTACGGCTGGACCGAGGCCCTCCGACATTGGCCATCAACCGGCTAAGAGAGGAGACCACCCTAGCGGCCTTGTTCGCCATACGGAAAATCTGATCCCGCCAGCTAAGCGTGCTGTCCACCATAATCCCAAGGTACTTGGCAGAACGAACGGTCTGGACTTCGACGGCCCCTACCCTCAACGGCACGATGGTGTCAATCCGTTTTTTTGTTAATATCACGATCTCAGTTTTGCTCAAAGCAACCGAGAGACCGTGGTCTGTCATCCATGCGTTTATAGTACGCATAACTCGGTTCAGCTTTAGCTGAGCCAGCTCAATGCTACGTGCAGCTATCAAAACTGTAACGTCCGCGTAGGGTGCCAATAGTACCATAGTAATTTCTATTATACTAGCAGAGTACCCGTACTTCGTACGGGGTTGGCGTAAGTATAAAATGCTTATTGCAGTTATAGGCCTACTCGATCTTTGCATTTGCAATGTGAGAAGACACGGTTTGAGAAAATTTGCTTCCTCAAATTTACGGTAGGCCTATGCTATAGTATTAAACATCTACCATAGCCATTATTTTCTACCACTTCACCTACATAATAGAGAAAGATAGATTATTAAAAATTCACTAACTTAAACATCACAAATTATTCATGAAATTAAAAAAATAAACATAACTATAAACAATCCTACTTTGACAGTTCTCATTGCATATCACAGTTTTTTGTTGCTGCTTCGTTCAAATTAGCTGTTTTCATAAATAATGAAAACAATAGTGCTGCACTCTGTTGGTAATTAATGCTTTTGCATATCATAGAACCAATTCTTTTGGTTGAAACAGCTGGTTAAATTCTTTAATCCCTTTAAATATGAATACTCATTAGGTACTCATAAGGTTAACATTGGGAACTGCAGAGCCACTGGGGCGGAGCCTGAAAGGATTTTTGAAATAAGAATATGCCTATAATCGGGAATGTGAGCTATCATCATGCCAAATTTCAGCCCAATCCGACCAGTATTTTTTGCGTTTACTTGTCACAAACATACATACATCCATACATCCAAACTTTCTCATTTATAATATTAGTAGTATAATTAGAAACTAGATTTTTAGAAACTAGCCTACCTGAAAACAATGGTGCAAGGATTTTTCTGCGTTCACAAAAACTAAATAAACTACGATCATTTGAATTTTATTACGGTACTGTAATGCCTCTGTAATGTCTGCTGGTCTCTGTTGCCATTACCTACTGTGAATTGACTAACACAAACATGAATGATAGAAAGGATTGTCTAGGGAAGAAGAAGAAACCTAAGATGACAAACATTTAGTTTGTACAAAGAGGTAGAGTACCAAAGAGGTAGGTATTCTATTTTCTACTTCATGAAAAATAGAATCCTTTTTAAAAATAACACGAATGCGTATAACACAAGACGTAATTTCATAATATATCCCTCGCACTCAACGGCAAAATTTGAAAAATCTCCTGATTAGGGTATATGACTCGTAGGGTAATTAATAAAATTCTTATCAAGCTATTAGAAAAAGACACAGACTTTAAAAATTGTTTCTTGAAGAAGGTCAGGCAATACTTGTATGCCAATGCATTTATACTTTGAATGAGTTTTTTAACAGTACCTAGTGCTAAGTTAACTTAGTCTAAGCTTTGAGATGACATTGTACTTACTCATCATTAATTTATGACTATTCTCTTTGTACATATTTGTATATTTATGGAGAAATAAAACTCTTTCTTTTTTCTTTTTTAGAGACATTTGTAAATTCAACTGAACGTTGATTATGAACATTGATTATGATTATGAGGTACTTCAGTTATTATTTAGACATGTGAGGTAGGTAGGTTGGGTGTTATGCGGATTCGTGACTGTATTAAGGGTTTTGAAGTTAGGTTAGATTAGGAAGGTAGTTTAGGTTATGATGAATCAAGTTGTTGATTTATGTTATCCCCAGACTGTTTATGCACTTTGTAAAAAGTGCTAAAACACGATAAATAATCATTTAAAAAAATGCACAGCTACTATTAACAGTTAATAATTTTGAATTCTGAAAATCTGGAGGTACAAAGTAAACTAGCAAATGACAATAAGAGCGCTGGAGCCTATACAAAAACTTGTATCATCGAAACTTATCAAGATGCTCAAAATTAAGATTAGGCCTATACAAGACTATACAGCCAGTGTTATTGTATGGAAGTGAATCATGGGTCCTCTCCAAAAAAAATGAAGGTCATTTAATGGTTTTTGAAAATAAGGTTTTTTTAGCGAATTTCCCTTTAGGGAAGTAGCTATTACTGTAGGTGGCACGGTAAGACCTAGACCCGGGACCGATTTACTTTTTCATTTTGATGTCCCCAGAGGCCAAAAACACCATTCGTTCAAATTTTTATATATGTATATATATATATATATAGACTTATATATATATACGTCCGTGAACGCGATAACTTGAGTATTTTTTGTCCGATTTTGATGAAATTTGGTTTAAAGGTGTAAAGCGGGATAAACTTGAATGAGTTCGCTAACCAGCACGATCGGACCATGGGAACGGGGCTTTACGGGGAGTTTTATGGGGTAAAAATTGGTTTTTCTCACTTTTGACCCTCAAAACACAAAATTTCCCGATTTCTCTTTAGACCTTTTTAAAGAGCTTAAAAAAATAAATAATTTAGTATATAAAAGTATTTTTGTTCGATTATTAGTAACGGAAAAAATTTAAAAAATTGTAAATTTAAAATTCCCATGTTATTCTTATGGAGAATATTGTCAAATGTTGTAGTTTGCTTGTTTATGGATATATTTTGATCAAACTTGGCAAATTTATTTATTTTGTACTAAGCTATCAATATTTTACTCAAAAACACACTTTATTAGTTTCCTTGTAGCAGCAAACCTAGGTACTCGTTAAACCTAATGTTATTAAAATATATTTAACTGAAAATCAATTCAGACAAATGGAAATTCGCTTAGCCGGCAGGTTTGCTGCGGCGGGGTTATTTAATCTTTGGCCCAGTTTATGAAGAAGGAGTTTGGCGCATAAGGAAAAATAGAGAGCTGCGTGTCCCGTGTCCCTTAAAAAGATCCTGATATAATAGCGCTTATAAAAGCCAAAAGAATTAGTTGGTTAAGTCATGTACTTCGGAGACAGGATGGCACAAGACCGAAGTAGGTTTTTGAGGCCGCACCTTATATACATAGTATACAGAGATAGAAGCTTATTGTTATCTTAAAAAAATTATAAGATTGAGTGGATAATGGTTACAAGTGAAAGACTGATTTTAGTCTATTTACAAATTTAGAGATAACCTAACATATAGAGATTAAATTAATTTAAAAAAGGACATACATTTCTGAGAAAAGACATTTACCACCTAACCTAAACAAAAATGATCAAATGAAATATTCAAGTTTACTGTATAGTGGGTACTTATCCGTAGTAGGCCTATCTATAGGCGTTTTATCAATTTTTAGAATTTTAATTGTTAATCGTGATTTTTTATAAAACCCATAGCCTTAAATAACAGAAAATAAGATTTACAAAGATACGGCTCAACTGGGTTTGATTCAAATTCAGTTTCTTATGCTCCTTTTAACCCTAAACAAAATGGTACAATCCCCATTGCTGTAAAAAATATTGTTAAAATTATATAACTGCAACGTTTGTGATTTTCCCCATCAAAAATTATAGTTACCTACTCCCACTGCTTACCCATAATAAGGGTTGTTTAATAGCTAACAGTAGAAAGTCAGATTGCTGATACCATTAATTTTACATGCGGAAGTAACCCTCGCATATGCCTCAAGCATTACGGTTCAAAATCAATTATGCCCGATCTAGAGTTTACTGCAAGACCCGGAACATTCATTCATTCATTGCTTTCAGTAAGTGAGAAACAAAAACTTAACCTACACCTACAACCTAATAAAAAATCAGACTCTATTCATATCAACAATCCTATTTAGGCAAATACATCTGGTTACACTAATTGACTTGCTTGGAATTGTGAATTGATTTTGCACTCATAACAATTTATGCATATATCTTACTATAAACTTAATTTTTGCTTTAACGTATATGAATTCAAACGGTGCGCACACGATTCAGAAATCTTTTTTACTTTAAGGGAGTAAAAAATATGGTGAGATTAATGTAGCAGACAACTGATTCAGATTCTAGAAACATTAGTGAATTTTTCAGATGTGGTTATATAGCCGGATGTAGATTAATGAGGAGAGGCATATTGTATGCGACATTGCTGCCAGTGGATTGTGCCAATATTATTACACAGTTTATGATTAGTAGTATTTACTGTAGATTTTGTGCATTTTATATAGAAAGAATGCCATATTCACTCAGAAAACTAATTGTGCAAAACTAAAAAAGCAACCAACAGGTTTTAATTTTTTACAATATAGGCTATGCTATTTTCTAGAAACCTAGCATTTTTACATCAAAATATACCTGTGTAGCACGTCTCATAAAGTAATTTTAGTTAACTTTAATGTATTTTAGTTTCAGAGAGCCCAGTAAATAAAACACCACGACGAGGAAATTTAACAGGGAATCCAAGAAAAATCAGAGATTCAGCGGCAGATCTTTTCAATCAAATTCAAGAGTGGAACAATCTTTGCATTAACGGCTCAACAATTTTGTTTAAGATAAACGCTGCAAAAACAAATCCTCAGTGAGTAACTTACTTAAGTTGCATAAGGTACATTTCTTCGTCTTGTAATATGTTTTCAGTTGAACCTCTCTTATCTGTCATATTGAGTAAAGAACTTAAAAAACTCAACCCTTACTAAAATATTACGTTAAGTTTAAATCTTTTACCATTTTTTTGTTTGTTGGTCATATCTTATCCTGTCCAATTGTATTTATAACAATATCTAGCACTAAGTTAGTTTAACATACAACACATTGGGGAAGGAATTAATGTGCTGCCTGCAGTACCCTCTATCAGCAATTAATTTTACCGAATTTGTAGACTCTAATTGTTATAGAAATAGCTACTTCCCTATAGGGAAATTCGCTAAAAAAACCTAAGGTAATAAATTAATCATTCTTTGGCCAATTTGTTCATAGTAAAATTGACTACAAAAAAGTAGTAATTAGATAATCAAAGTTTAGGTCTAAAATGAAAAATTTTAAAAATTATAAAGATTATAAAAAAAAATTTCAAACAATTTTTAAAGTAAACTTGATTTACAAATTCACACACCGAATTAAACTACTATTATAAAGTTCACTTGATTCCCCATGTAAAAAAATCACAAGTTGTTTACTTTTATAAGTAAATAGCTGTTGTACCCGTGCTTTGCAACGGAAGAGGACACAAAATAGAAACATTTTAATCTTTACATCTGCTGCATATAATAGTTACACATCCGCCAACACTTTTAGTAGCCCAGTCAAATTAGCTTTAAAATTCATAAAGAAAAACAAAAAATGGTATAGTTTTGCAAATTGGCTCAAAATGTCAGTTAAGGCTTCTATTTTATCATACCAAAAGTCCCCTAACGTGAGACTTGAGCTTTCGCCGCCATCTTGGATTTTAGGTACAATTTCCTAGTTTTTCTAAATTTTCTGCTAAATTATTAATATTTTATATACCACATGCAATTAGAAAATTAAAGTACACAAAATTTACTACAAAAATTGTGTTTACAGTTTTCATGTAGCTCCAACTGTTTCAGAGAAATATCTTCCTAAATATGTAATTATATTAATTTTTAGGTACAATTTTTTTTGTTTTTCTTAATTATCTAAAAATTTATTAATATTTTACATAGCATATATAATTGCAAAGTTGAAGTACACAAATTTTACTACAAAAGTGCCTTTAGTACTGTTTAGTAACTGCGTCTGTTTTAGAAATATATGCACATTAATATGATAATTTAATTCGTTTTTTAATTTTACCCTGTATGTGGGCTATTAAAAAATATACAGGGTGTTCATTTGAAAACTTTCCATATCTGTTGTGTGCAAAGGTAAGGCTTTTAACACTTGTTTGTTCTCATTTCCCCCTAATTTGGACATGCCAAATCCAATAAAATTATTTTCAATTTCGAAAAATGCCCCAAAAGGGCCCAATTTGGGGGGTAGGGGTGCTTTTTGAGAAATTTTCAAATGTAAACATGGGTTGTGTGATACATCAATTTAAAGGTCTAATCACCCCGACTATTTTGGTGCAATAAAAATGTCATTATCTTTAACCGTATTTACAGGGTGGGTCAAAACGTTTTTCAAAAGGACTTTGAAGTTAAGTGCCGTATTACCCGAACTACTGAACGGAACAGCGCCAAATTTCTTTCCAAGCTTATTCTTAATCTACTCTTTAAGATAACTTGTAATAAGGGCATTTTCCATGTTATCTTCTAATTTTTAAAAAATCTCAAATTTTAAGAATAAAAGAAAGGTGAAAACTCAAAATTCTTAAATAGCAAGGTATAACAAATTTCATACCACGTGAAAGGTCCTTTTTTAACAAACATTTTACGTATTTAAGTTTTCTTTCTATCTCTTACCGTTTAAAAATTGCAGTAGAAAAACTGAATTTTCTATGGTTAAATTATAACTAGTTTTCTAACAAAACACATTGCACTTTGCTCAACGATGTATTATAATTAATTACAAATTGATCAACTACTTTTACTTGTGTCAGTTCATCTTGGACCCTTCATCCTGTTTTTTTCTCATTGGGAACTGAGCCAGTTTCAGAAATTTCTTAACCAAATCATTTACAGCTTTATGACTTAAGGTCTTACCTGGATATTTATTGTTAAACACTTTGCAGTTATCCTGAAACACTTTTGTTCTGCCCAATAAGTAAAAAAAAAGTCTATTTTTTTAAGTGTACACCATATTCGATTAGATGCTACAGAAAATAGTACTTTTTGAAATTAGTACTACCGTTGACTAGTCAATGGTACTACAGAAAGCAGCCCACATGTAGGTTGTCCTCATCAGCTATAAGACTTGTTTTTCACAAATTAAAACGTAACGACTTGTTTGTCAATCAGGGTATCAATAATTATGAATTGTTTCCTTCAGTTAATGCACCATTAAATGTGTCTAGAGACGAATTTTGGCTGTTTTATTAGAAAACTAGTTACAATATTACTATGGAAAATTCAGTTTTTCTACTGCAATTTTTAAACGGTAAGAGATAGAAAGAAAACTTAAATACGTAAAATGTTTGTTAAAAAAGGACCTTTCACGTGGTATGAAATTTGTCATACCTTGCTATTTAAGAATTTTGAGTTTTCACCTTTCTTTTATTCTTAAAATTTGAGATTTTTTAAAAATTAGAAGATAACATGGAAAATGCCCTTATTACAAGTTATCTTAAAGAGTAGATCAAGAATAAGCCTGGAAAGAAATTTGGCGCTGTTCCGTTCAGTAGTTCGGGTAATACGGCACTTAACTTCAAAGTCCTTTTGAAAAACGTTTTGACCCACCCTGTAAATACGGTTAAAGATAATGACATTTTTATTGCACCAAAATAGTCGGGGTGATTAGACCTTTAAATTGATGTATCACACAACCCATGTTTACATTTGAAAATTTCTCAAAAAGCACCCCTACCCCCCAAATTGGGCCCTTTTGGGGCATTTTTCGGAATTGAAAATAATTTTATTGGATTTGGCATGTCCAAATTAGGGGGAAATGAGAACAAACAAGTGTTAAAAGCCTTACCTTTGCACACAACAGATATGGAAAGTTTTCAAATGAACACCCTGTATAGAAACTTTCTGTTATAATATAATTCACCCTCTGATGCAATTTTTTTACAATAGTTATAAACATTAATGTATATTACTTAGATTTAGGGTTGGTCGACCATCATCATTCATTACTATTATTCATAAAGTACGACTGTATTTATTTTTAGCTGTAGAAAGTAACAACCCTGTTAATTAAAACCCCTGTTAATTAATTTAAACCCTGACAACAATTAATTAAAACTTATTTGTTTTTATATTTAGGGCAGAGCCCTAAGTGAATTCATTCATACCCATATTTATTGGCAAATTTACACACTCTGAGCTTCATTTTGATGGGTCATATGCTTTTACTTTTAATAATTGGTTAATGGTCTCAACCATTTACATACAATTTGATTGTATCACTTAAATAATATTTGGAAATCGGCCTGTGGGGCAGAGCCCTAAGAGAATTCGTTCATACCAATACTTTCGGAAAATTTACACACTCCGAGCTTCATTTTGATGTGCCATATGCCTACATTTTTATTTGGTTTATGGCCTTAACCATTGACATTTGATTGTATATCTTTAATAATATAATAGATAATTTTCAAAAAAATGGAAATAAGTGAATCATTGAAATTTGTTATTTGTGATCAATGTATAGTGGACGGCGAAAGTTGTATTAGAGTTGGTGCGAAAGGTTTGGCAGGTTAGGTAAATGCAAGCGAAGAAAGGTAAGATTGGAAAGACATTATTTTTGCTGGGCTTATTGCAGTATATGTCCATACATACTGCCTTGAAACAAACATATATCATCAGACCATCATCTATTGCTGCAGCCAAAACCAAGGATAGTACACTTCCTCATAATGATACCTAGAGCACAACCCTGCGATCATCACAGGTACAATTTGATTTCCAAACAAAGTGCTTATATTGTTGTGAGGTTATTAGTAAGTCATACTTTGAGGGTGGAAAAAGCCTCTTTGGAAAAGAAACGCAAAATTTATATGGTACGAAGCATGGACTTTTTATGTTTTCCAATCTTTCCTTTCTTCATTTGCTTTTACAAAACCTGCCAAACCTTTCGCACTAACTTTAATACAAATTTCGCCGTCCACTATACATTGATCATAAATAACACATTTCAATGATTCACTTATTTCCATTTTTTTGAAAATAATCTATTATAATTATTATTAAAGATATACAATCAAATTTTATGTCAATGGTTAAGGCCATAAACCAAATAAAGCTCAGAGTGTGTAAATTTTCCGAAAATTAATTTTCCGCTCTGCCCCACAGGCCGATTTCCAAATATTATTTAAGTGATACAATCAAATTGTATGTAAATGGTTGAGACCATTAACCAATTATTAAAAGTAAAAGGATATTATCCATCAAAATGAAGCTCAGAGTATGTAAATTTGCCAAAAAATATAGGTATGAACGATCTCTCTTAGGGCTCTGCCCTAAATATAAAAACAAATAAGTTGTAATTAATTGTTGTCAACAGGTTTGTTACTTTCTACAGCTAAAAATAAATACAGTATAGTACTTTATGAATAATAGTAATGAATGATGATGGTCGACCAACCCTAAATCTAAGTAATATACATTAATGTTTATAACTATTGTAAAAAAATTGCATCAGAGGGTGAATTATATTATAACAGAAAGTTTCTATATATTTTTTAATAGCCCACATACAGGGTAAAATTAAAAAACGAATTAAATTATCATATTAATGTGCATATATTTCTAAAACAGACGCAGTTACTAAACAGTACTAAAGGCACTTTTTTTAGTAAAATTTGTGTACTTCAACTTTGCAATTATAAATGCTATGTAAAATATTAATAATTTTTTAGATAGTTAAGAAAAACAAAAAAAATTGTACCTAAAAATTAATATAATTCCATATTTAGGAAGATATTTCTCTGAAACAGTTGGAGTTACATGAAAACTGTAAATACAATTTTTGTAGTAAATTTTGTGTACTTTAATTTTGTAATTGCATGTGGTATATAAAATATTAATAATTTAGAAGAAAATTTATAAAAACTAGGAAATTGTACCTAAAATTCAAGATGGCGGCAAAAGCTCAAGTCTCACGTTAGGGGACTTTTGAAAAATTCAACTTTTATGGCCTTAATAGAAATGTTAAGTTATGACTTTTAAATCTGTTAAGTTGTCGATACCACCATTTTGGTTTTGATTCATTTTAAATCTTGTGTAGGATAAAATTGTTTGTTTTACCTTACCACAGCTGATTTTGGGCGATATCTGGTTTCCATGGCAACACAACGTTGTTTGTTATTCACAAAAATAAATGAGTAAATATGCAAAACAAAAGCAAGATATTTATAAACATCGTAAAAGTAAGAAGAAACAAAAATGGGGGGGAAATAATAATAAAATAACTATAGTGACAATGCGTAGCTGTGACACAAGCGGCACTAGTAAGTCAGCCACTGTACGAGTAACGCTCGTAAGTTGGCGCAAACGGGTTAAAGTGAGTCGTGTTGGTCATTTTTAACTTAAAAGTATTGACCCTTTTGAGAGAACTTTTTTCCCTAGGATGCTCAAGGCACAAGCCTGGGATTGTTTTTCACATTACTTCCGGCTAAACCTAGGGGTTGCGGCATTATCACTTAGATAAAATACATTGGTGATTTGGTGGGATTTGAACCCGGGACCTCGGGAACCGAAGTCCCACGCTCTAACCTTAGATCTGCTTGCTCCCCATCCTTTTGAGAGGATAGATGTTCAGAATCTCCTATGCAAAAAAGAGTAGCCCATTGCTAAAAAACTGACTTAAAGAGGTAAGAAAAACAGTTTCTTACAGTGCTAAATCTTGATTTTTTACAAAGATATCAAACAAAAGTACTGTAGAGGGTTTTAAGAGGTCCAAAGAAGATGTTTACTTTTTACCAACTGTTTTGTAGGTTTGAATAATCACAACATTCAGTATTAGTCATGATTTGAAATAGTGCCACACTATTTCCATAGAATGCAGCACAGAAAACTATTTTACTTTTGGATATGTCCAAATATATTAAACCCCAATCTCAGCACACCTGTGCACTCAACAACGTTTAAATTCTTTACAATTAAATATGTAAACATGAAAAGTAAAAACATTTAAGTATCATAAACAATAAAAGGGATGGCAATGCTTTAATATTGTTATCTTTTCTTCTATATCCACACAATCTAACATGAATTATTACTAAGCGAATAATAATCGTGCTAATCTCAGGTATTCAAATGCCTTCCAATTTGTCATCAACCCACCACATTACTGTCTTTAAAAGAAAGAACTCCAATAATATTACTGTAATACGAAACTGAAATCCACCCAAGCTGTGCAACGGAACCAGACTTACGATTTTAAAAATTACAAAAAATGAGCACCTAATGAAAAAACAAAAAACATTGTTTATCTACAGGCAACTAAGTAAAGTAAATATTCTATTTTTGTTTTTGGTTTACATTTTTATTATTTGACGTAAAAAACAAATTACCATCCTTATATATAATTCTGTAAGACAAAATCTTTACCAGAAAATTTTGGACGTCTGGTAAGTCGCAGAAAAGTGGGAGGGGTCTTAAATTAAAGGTCTTGACCCCAGGGACTCGGGAAAAATAGAAGAATTTCCATAAAGTTACCAGAAAACGAGATATAACGTAAAATGTTCTCCATAAGAATAGCATTAGAAGCCATTTTCTGCTAATTTTTGTTTACTTCATACAGCTGATCGTGATTTATCATCAAGCCAGTACGCAATGTTAACATTTGGATTATACTTATTTGCCAGTAAGTTCAGCAATGTACTATATAAAACCAGGGATAACGTTACCTATAATAATTAAGACTTTTTAGTTACGTTATATAGAATATGGAAATATATTATTTTACTGTGAAACTTTTCAAACTTGTGTTTAACAGGAAATAACCACATTGAATAAATAATTAACGAGCTACCTTAATAAACCAGTATTTATTCAAAACCAATTATACAGTGTGTAAATTAAGTATGGAAACAAATCTGTATTTTTAAAACCGAAATAGATAGAAATATTCTATTTGTGGCAATAATAGTTAACAAAGATTCCGCAATTTTTCACATGACAAATATTTTTTTACCCCCCTAACAGGGTAGGTGGTAGGGGGTGACTTATTTTTTTCAAATAGCAACCCCTATTGAGTGACCCCTCATTTTGAAGGGTTTGTCAAAAGAAACACAATGACGCAAATCCGAGGTGAATATGTCACTCCTAGCTAACATGGCGGATATTCCAAAATGGGCTTTTTTTTACAAAAATTAAATTTTTCATTACCAACCATTTAGGCTAGGGGTGAAATATCTACCTCGGGTTTGCGTCATTCTTTTTCTTTTAACAAACCCTTCAAAATGAGGGGTCACTCAATAGGGGTTGTTGTTGAAAAAAATAAGTCACTCCCACCCCCTACCCTGTTAAAGGGGTTGAAAAAATATTGTTGATTAAAAAAATTGCGGAACCTATGTCAACAATCAATTCCACAAACAGAATATTTCTATCTATTTCGGTTTTAAAAATACAGATTTCTTTCCATTATTTGTGAAATTGGTGCTTTTCACGTACAATAAATCAAATTTTGGAATATCCGCCATTTGGGCTAGGAGTGAGATATTCACCTCGGATTTGCGTCATTGTGTTTCTTTTGACAAACTCTTCAAAATGAGGGGTCACTCAATAGGGGTTGCTATTTGAAAAAAATAAGTCACCCCCTACCACCTACCCTTTTAGGGGGGTAAAAAAATATTTTTCATGTGAAAAATTGCGGAATCTTTGTTAACTATTATTGCCACAAATAGAATATTTCTATCTATTTCGGTTTTAAAAATACAGATTTGTTTCCATACTTAATTTACACACTGTATGTTTGCTGCCTTTATAGTGTGGCCTTGCTTTAGCAGAGTTAAATCTATGTAGTGATTCGAATGATTTATTGAAAATAACATCAACAAAGACAAACAACAAACTGTTTTTTACACAAAAGATATGGCATATGTACAGGGATATCTATTCTGATACGTAGATAATATAATTCTTTGTTTGTTTAAATATTAGAACAATTTGTTTTATATTATTGAGCATTTTAGGGACTTATGTCCCTACAAGCCACTAGTATACAATAATAGACCTAGTTGTTAGCTCAGCAACGCGCGCCGGGTAACTGTTAGTATGTTAGTAGGCCTATATGAATTTGAACCACCATGTTTTTGGCCACTGGGGACCTCAAAACAAAAAAAGTAAATCGGTCCCGAGTCCAGGTCTTATCATGAGACATACAGTAATAGCTTATTCCCTAGGCCTATATAGGGAATTTGCCTAAAATGGCAATATTTAGTAAAAAATACTGGCTTTAAATTATGAAAATTGGAGTGAAAATACTGTATGAGACTGAAGCAAAAATTTGATCTGAAACTAAAATGTTAAATGATTAATTAGATTGAAAGATAATAATGTTTTACAGTTAAATGATATCAGTGAACAGGAATTCTAGAAATAGATCAAAAAGGGTAGAGCTTAAAATCGTACAAAACTACAGGATTTGTACATTTACAAGATTTTAGGACAGTTACCTTTTTATGACGTTTACTTTTGCTGGATCTGTTAAGTGAACTGTTTTCTTTTGAAGACTTTGAATTGGGTTTAGTTTTCTCTCCACTTGTCTTCTCTTCTGCAGTTTCACAAAAAGACTTTTGCATATTATTTTCAACACTAATTTCAATTTTCAGCTCATGAGTACTAGAATTTTCCTTAGGTTTACGTAAGCTTTCCCTCCAACTAGCCAATACCTCTGGATCAAGATCACCGCTCATTTTGTCGTGGTTGTAATTTTCTTCGATCTCCTCATTTTCTAAAGATTCATCTGTCAGGTTTGGTTTGCTTGAATTTATCTTGGAAGGTTTTGAAATTCGTTTTTTAGATTTAGTGGCCTCTATATGTATTTTTATGACTTCCGTAACATCGGCACTCGAACATTGCAAATTAGATGAAAAGTCTTCACTATTTAAATTATGGAATGGTGAGGGTAGTGGTGGGAGGAGATTAGTTTGTTTCAGCCGGGTTGAGTTGCAAAAGAGGTGAGAGCTTAGGCTGGCATGCCAGTCTATGGTATGTGGGCTGGTATACACAGGTCTGTATGGTATAGGGCAATGAGGAGGAACCCAAAATCCTCCCAACGGAATCACAGGTCTGACATAAGGGCCGAACCGAGCAACAGCTCTGAAACAATCCAAAATGCCTAGTTATGATTTTCTATTATTTTAATCGCTATTCAAATCAATTTTACTCTAAGTGCTATGGATGAAGTCTTACTGGTTAGATTGTCTTTAAATTTATTTGGTGTTAAAAAATAAAATTGGTTAAACTGATTACTGTAATTTGTAAGGTAGGCCTAACCAAACCATATTTATTAAAGTTAGATTAAATTAAAACTACTCATGTTTCCAAAATAGAGATTGGTTGTAAATTTTGAATACTTTTAGACCTGTACCTAAAATGCCTTAGCACACACATTGTCAACATTTCACACCACTTTAACAAATTATATTTGATTTATTTTTAACGTTATATTTTATGTAATGGTCAGCAACGGTTGGGGTTGATAAGACACGCTGAAATGTGCTTTTTTACAAATTTATACATTAAGTCATTTTTATAGAATGATATTTTAACTGTAAAACATTTTTTCAGTAGAGGATTTTTTTTAATCTTCATTAATATAAATTTTATTGTATTTTCAGTAGCTGGTAGTGTCGTCTATTTCATAAGAAGCCATTTTCAAACAACTCAAAAAATGAACCGAAGGAAGAAGTTAAGAGCAGGTGGTGCAGAGGAGGTAGAAGAAGAAGGGGAATCTTGCAACGCCAGCAGTGACATGAAACTAATATCATCTGACAAGAAAGTAAAAGAAACTGAAAATGTGGAGGAGGTTGAAGAGGAGGAAGAAAAAACACCAACGAGCAATCAAAATCCTACTACTACAACTACTACTCCTCCAAAACCAGAAAAAGAGGAAGAAGGAGAGCAGGATTCAGAACAAGATGATCCCACTGGCTTGGAAGGGGCAGCATTTCATAGCAGATTACCATTTGACAAAATGTCCGCTCTGGAAGCTGCGTGTTTCCCCGACGTCAATGTAGCTCCACCTCAAACTCAAAAAGTTTTCCTTCACATTCGAAACCGGGTTCTTCAACTCTGGTTGGACAACCCTAAACAACAGCTTTTGCTAGAAAATACAATACCAATGGTAGAGCCGCCCTACAACAGCGATGTCAACCTTGTAACTCGCATTCACTCTTTCCTCGAACGCCAAGGGTATATTAATTTTGGAATTTTCAAAAGGCTGAAACCACTTCCGACTGTCAAAAAAGGAAGAGCAATTGTGATAGGGGCTGGAATAGCTGGGCTGGCTGCTGCTCAACAGATGCAGCAGTTTGGAATGGAAGTTGTTATTCTAGAGGCTAGAGACAGAGTCGGTGGGAGGATTGCAACGTTCCGCAAGGGGAACTACATCGCTGACCTTGGTGCAATGGTTGTTACAGGACTGGGAGGAAACCCTGTTACTGTTCTGTCTAAACAAATCAACATGGAACTCCATAAAATTCGTCAAAAGTGCCCACTTTATGAGTCTAATGGTGGAACTGTACCCAAAGACAAGGACGAAATGGTTGAAAGAGAATTCAACCGGTTATTAGAAGCTACTAGTTATCTGTCTCACCAACTAGATTTCAATTTTGCAAACAGTAAACCTGTTTCCCTTGGTCAAGCTTTAGAATGGGTTATCAAACTACAAGAGAAAAATGTTAAGGAAAAACAAGTTCAACATTGGAAAGCTGTTATAGCACTTCAAGAACGTTTGAAGGCAAATCAAAATCGAATGCTCACTGTGAAAGAACAGGTTGAAGAACTTCAACTGCAGCATAAAGAATTGCTGGAATCAAAAACAACTAGAGATATTACACAAGAATTTGTAGTTCGCTCAAAGCAAAGAGATCTCAGTATCGCTTGTAAAGAATGGGATCAGTTGCTGGAGCAGCAAAAAGAGATAGAAGAAAAGCTACAAGAGCTTGAAGCATCACCTCCAAGTGATGTGTACTTATCTTCTAGAGATCGTCAAATCCTTGATTGGCATTTTGCAAATCTCGAATTTGCTAATGCCACTCCTCTTAGCACTCTGTCCCTAAAACACTGGGACCAAGATGATGACTTTGAGTTTACAGGAAGTCATTTAACAGTGCGGAATGGCTATTCTTGTGTACCAGTAGCTTTATCCGAAGGTCTGGACATCAAGTTGAACACCGCCGTTCGGCAAATCAGATACTCCAATAAAGGAGTTGAGGTTCTCACATCGAATGCTCGCAACCACGGGAATCCAATGACTTATAAAGGAGACGTGGTGTTGTGCACTTTGCCTCTAGGAGTACTTAAGCAATGCACCGCTTCTAACTCCCAGGGAATGCCAAACTCTGTTCAGTTTGTTCCTCCACTCCCCGAATGGAAATTATCAGCCATTCAACGCCTCGGTTTTGGAAACCTCAACAAAGTTGTTTTGTGCTTTGAACGAATATTTTGGGATCCAAGTGCTAACTTGTTTGGACATGTCGGTAGCACCACGGCAAGCAGAGGAGAGCTTTTCCTCTTCTGGAACCTTTACCGTGCCCCAGTGTTGTTGGCTTTGGTAGCTGGCGAGGCAGCAGCTATCATGGAGAATGTGAGTGATGATGTCATCGTTGGTCGTTGCATCGCTGTACTAAAAGGCATCTTTGGTAACAGTGCTGTGCCTCAGCCTAAGGAGACAGTAGTTACTCGGTGGAGGGCTGACCCTTGGGCTCGGGGCTCATACTCCTTTGTAGCTGTCGGGTCCTCGGGTAGCGACTATGACATCCTGGCTACACCAGTGGTGCCACCCTCCACAGGTCCTGGCGACACCCCTAGCAGTCCACGATTGTTCTTCGCCGGTGAACACACCATCCGCAACTACCCAGCCACAGTACACGGTGCTTTCCTCAGCGGGCTGCGTGAGGGAGGGAGAATATGTGACCAGTTTTTGGGGATACCATACGCACCTCCCACCACAATCCCTGAATAACTCAGAACTGACGATTAAAAGTTTTGAAGATTTTAGATTATAAACTGACTGATGACAAATTTAATATTATATGTTTGCTAACTTAGTCTACTTTAACTATAGTACCACAATTTAGTAGTTTATCCACTAGGTACAATTTATACTTTCATGGATTTAATATCTAATTGACTTGATCTTACTACTCCTTTAAATGATATTTTTGTATGAATGTTCATAAAATGTTTAGTCTTATGTCTTATGTTTGAGTTACTTTTATATTTTGTGAATAGCATTGTGGTCATCTGAAGTTTGTCAATGTGTGTGATTCCTGAACTAATCAGTGTTGATCGCATGAATAAATTGCACAAGTATTGTTATTAAACGTTTTCCATCCTATGACCTACTTAGTAGGATGTCACTATTTGATCTCAATTAAACTAAGTTTTGCCAGTTTTTCATAGTAATACTCTACTTTATAATAAACCATTTCAAAAAATCAAATGTAACCTTTATTTTATGACATTTGCTACTCAGGATATTTGTGAACATACAGTTTAACAAATCAAAGTGTGTTCGTATATCAATTTGTTAACTGTTGTTTTTAAGGTTTGGTCAGATTAGCCAACTTACGTTTAAGCTTAGAAGTTAGGTGCCACCAGATCAAATCTTATTTGTTTGTTTTGAGATTCAAACTAAAGATTTTCACGTGAATTAGGTCCGGTCTTAAACAATTTTAATAGAGAGAGGTATAGGGCAACATTTTTTGCAGTCAAGTTTATTACTGAGATAGCCTAATCCAACCAAAGTGCCAAAAACGCAGTCACTACATACCCAATGCTATTTCCATAACAGACAATTTAATTGTTATTTCCTTTCTGCTTGTTTTAAAATTTAAATGGGGCAAACTTTGTAGAAGCTAAATTTCTTGGTGAGCTTTTGATTTTGCTGTTGACCTATCTATTAAATAAACACATAGGCCTATTGTTTTATTTCTGGGGAAATGAAAAATTGGAAACCTCATCCAACCAAATTTTTTTACAAACTCAATACACCACAAATTTGCTTCATTATGTTTAGATTATGTTCATTTACTGCCACATATATGTTTAAACCATCAGTATTGTATCTACCAATTACCAATACACTATCATTAGAAAAATGTGATTAGATAGGTATAGGAAATGAACTCAGCAAGTAGAGACAGATAGTTTACTCATTCAGTAAAAGACAACCTGTAGAAGCATCTTTAGGAAAATAATTCGAGTAGGTTTAGGAATTTTGAATACACAGCAAACTGATGGGCAATTTATTTGCAATCTACAACCATTGACTTTTTACAACTCTTAGGTATTTTTGTTAGTTTTTAATGTAATCCTAGTCCATCATACCTGGAATTAACATTGTGTCCGTTGTTATAAAAATGCTCAGGAGCGTAAGTGATATGCAGGCGTCTCTCCATTAACTAAATTTTGAACTGATTTCCAAATTAACAGTTAAAAACAATCATTGATAACTTCATGTTCATAATTTTTTTATGTTATGTAAACTTTTTCAGAAAATTAACAGCTGAAATTACCATGGAATCATAAAAAAACATGCAGACTTTTTGGGTTGTAGCTTTGATTATAGGTATATGACTGAAGTAATCATTTCATTACATGTTTTTAGTATTGATTAAGAAACTAAAGAAGCAAACATTGTAAGGCTCAGAACACCTCAAGAAAATTTCCCACATATTTTTCCATTTTTGTATAATGACACTGGAATTTAACAAGAGACTGTAGTAAAATGTGAAGCCAGTTTTCATGTATTTTTCATGTCATGTTTGATTGAATGTGTTGCTGTAGACTGAATTTGTGTTCTCTTCTTTGAGAGTAGGTAAATTTTACTGCTTCTTTGGTAATGATGCAAGAGAACAAGTAATAGTAAATAAATCTTTGTATATGGATCCAATCTTAATTATCAATCATTGAGAATAGGTTGCCATGCGTATCTTAACCCAAATATGAGTGTAGAATGGTGTGAGATGACCTGTGTAGCTTTGTTAGGCCGGTGCTCCACTAAGCTGTTTGGACGCGCGCGGCAGAACCTCGCGCGGCGTGGCCGCGACTATGATTTGATGCTCCATTGAGCGGTTTTAACGCCAATTGCGGACCGCGCTCGCTACTTTGTTGACTCACCTGGTGCAGTGATGACGCGTGTTTTTTTGTAGTGCAGAGTGATGTCGTTAGTAAAAGTTGTGTGTGCTCTCGAAGCCTGTGGTATGCTGGAACCGAAAAAGAAGCGGTACTGGGTTCACCCCTTCACTGCGGAACGCAGACAAGGAAACAATTTCTTTAAATTTTATGAAGAAATCCGGAAGGAAGCATGAGGACAAGTTTTTTCAGTACTACAGAATGTCGATCAAATCATTTGATGAACTACTTGATGAACTAATTTGGAGTAGACAGGCCACGCCACAACCGCACAGTGGAGCTCACCTCACAAGACTTAATGTGGCGCCGCGACTGCGGCGACGCCACGCTCGCGGTCGCGCCGCCGCGCATAATGGAGCCGGTCCGATTCAAATGCATCTGCTGTCACAGGGCGGCAGCACCGCGCGCGGTTACCGCCCGCGGCCAAACAGCTTAGTGGAGCACCGGCCTTACTGACTACGATCAGCTGTTTCATTAGCCAGGATCATTTATTTAATGATCAGGGACAGATAGGTGCAGTTTTTAACCCATCAAAAAGCTACTGTTTTTTATCAGGATCAAATGGTGACCTTTTGAAAAAAAAGTTAAATTGATTTACCTGCCAACAGAGTATGCTGCTTCAAAATACTGTTTTCTTTCTTATAAGGGTGAATTATTGTAAACCATAGCAATTTGTATACATATTAATCGATTGCCATGTATGAAAAACCAGAATAGGAAATTTACCTTCAATAGTAACGTAGCAAACTCATTGCGAAGTTCAACTGTGGTCAATGTAGATTTGATGTTTACATTTACATCAGTAAACAAAGTTAATCATGCAAGTCAAAGCAGACTCCTACATTTTTTGCTGTAAAGTGGGCTTATGTCAATGCTCATGAAGACAGTACCGGTTCATCAATACTGCTAGCAATTTTTTTTTTTGCTGTGAACAAAATGTGAAAACTCTAAGCGACAGAACTTTAGAAATAATGGCTTCATCTGGTCTATGTGGTTAAGTCTTATGGTTTTAGCATGCTTATGTTTTAATTTTTTAAATCGTTTTTACTGCTTTCTTTTAACAAGGTTTCAGTTTTGAGAAATGTCCTTTGACTCACTTTGAGACAGTAAAAGTAGTTTTTTTTTCTATATTTCTCATAGTTTTTGCATAAGTGACTTATAGTCTAAACTTTTGTCCTTTCATTAAGTGTAATTCCTAATAAACATCATGTGCTCTTATTCTATGATAGCGGTCCCAAAATAATTGTTATATGGGGGGGGGGGGGGGGTGTTTTCATCATATAAGTTATGCTGTCACTACTCTCTTATGTATATATTATTGTTTTTCTTTCCAACAACCATATTTTGGAACATTCTTGAATTTTTTAGAGACAATGGACAGACAAGTATGCAAAATATCTATCCTGATGGACTTCAAGAGCTATGCGACCAGCTTGAACCAATCCACCACCAAATGGTAAATAATTGTATCAAAATAGTAGGTACTTGAGCAGGGGTCATCTTAAAATTAATAAAACAATCTACAGTAGACTACCTTTTAACCGGACAATTTTTGTCAGCACATTGGTTTAACTGGACTAGATCGATAGGATGTGGGTGGTACTGAAATGACTCTTCTCGTGGGAATGATTTGAGACCAGTGATCATGTGTCTAAATGAATACAATTCTCTCCTAAATTTAAGTAAAATACTGTCAGTATTCATTTTAACGGTCCGTTTTAACGAGTTTTTGGGGATGTTGGTTTAACCGGAAAAACCGTTATCAGGACTGGCCTCGGCCCCGAGGAGTCCGGATAAGGGGGAGTCTAATGTAGATTTAAATAACAGCATAGATAAAGCATACAAGGCTGAAGCTGAAATGTTATGATAAAACCAAGGTTTATTTATTTGTATTTTTCTACACCATCGTATTGAAAACTATGGTGTCTATAGGGAGAGGCCAGGGGATGTGTCTATCCTTCCCTGACAAAGCTATATCTAAACATTCTTTGAGCATTGTAAGGTTTTAACAAATCAACTATGTGAATTAAAATAAATCTATGTAATTTAGGCATATCATAATTTAATTGGAGGTATGTATCCTCAGGTCTGCGGTTTGCTTGTGACGCACTATGGGCCCGAGAAATGATTGTGCCTCTCTCCACCTACCTTGTGTGGGAATTTTTTATTCTTCAAACTAATGGGAAGGTTCTTAAATAACTGAATACCCCCTGCGCAGCAAACCTGCAGACTAAGTGAATTTTCATTTGCCTGATTAAATTTCAATTTAATCTTTTTAATCTATGATAACACTAAATCTCGCCCCGTGGTCAAAAATTCGGCCAAAAGTATGTATTGTGGAAGCTTCTCTATTTTCACCCCACACTGTAAATAAAACATGTGATTGGAATTTCTTGCATTTGTTTTGATTTTCTGATAATATTTTGTTGTTATTTCGTCACCAACATGGCAACCCATTAAGCCCATGTTAATTTTTTTTTTAATATTAAATTCATTTTTTCTGCCTATCTTTTAGCATATTTTAATTAATAAAGGGCTTTTGCACATCTACAGGCAAATGCAAATATCTTTCTAACAGTATGCATAGATTTTCCCTGCGATGCACAGGAGCTGAGAAAAAATGTTTTCAATAAACATTAAATCTCCATGAGAAAAGTTTAATTTCCATTTTTGACCCAACTAATTAATATTCTCAAAATACTGAGAAAACAAATAAAGCCTGCACATATAGGGCCTATACAGTACCCTTTCTTTTGTTAAAACCGGCGTGTAGTTTGGTCCAGTAGTATGGTTAGGCTAGTCTAGCTGTCATAAGTTTTGCAACAGTTTTAAGATTAGGTTTTAGCAAATACCTGGGTTTGCCGCTACATTTATGGAGGGCAATAAAATGTGTTTTTAGCGAATATCCCCTATAGGGAATAAGCTATTACCGTAGTACTCATGGTAAGACCTGGGCCCGGGACCGATTTACTTTTTCGTTTTGAGGTCCCTAGAGACCAAAAATACCATCCGTTCAAATTCATATATATATTTATATATGTGTCCGTTAGCGCGATAACTCGAGCAAAAATCATCCGATTTTGATGAAATTTGGTACAAACGTGTAAATCTACGTTTATTCGAACGAGTTCGCAAATCAGCATGATCGGACTATGGGAACAGGGGTTTATGGGGGGTTTCATGGGGTAAAAATTGGCTTTTCCCATTTTTTATCCTAAAAACTTAAAATTTAGCAATTTATTTACAAACCACTTGTAGAGCTTAAAAAACAAATAATTTAGTATATTGAAGCATGAATATGCGCCTAATGGTTACGGAAAAAATTCCAAAAATCAGTAAATTTAAAAATCCCATGTTATTCTTATGGAGAAAAAGTAAACTGTTGTAGTTTGCTTGTTTATGAACATATTTTGATCAAATTTGGAAAATGCATTAATTTCATACTAAACTATTACATTAAAAAAAAAACACCTTTTTACCCTCCCCGTTGCAGCAAACCTAAGTACTCGTTAAACTAATGTTATTTAAATAGGGAATATATGTGATATTTTTATAAGGAGACATTTTAGTGTAAATCCAATCAGGCAAATGGAAATTCGCTTAGTCCGCAGGTTTGCTGAGGCGGGGGTATTTTTAATAATAATAGCTTAGTATAAAATAAATAAATTTCCCAAAAATAGGCTACCAAGTTTGATCAAAATGTACGGTATCCCTAAACAAGCAAACTACAAAAGTTTACTCATTCTCCATAAAAATAACACATGGGAATTTTTAATTAAAATTTTTTTTAGATTTCTCCGTACCTAAATAATTGTAAAAAACACTTAAATGTACTTAATTATCTGTTTGTGTAAGCTCTCAAAATGGTCTAGCGAGAAATAGAGAAATTTTATGTTTTGAGGATCAAAAACGAGAAAAGCCAATTAATTTTTACCCCAAAAACCCCGTTCCCATGGTCTGGATGATGCTGTTAGCGAACTCGTTTGAACAACGTAGGTTTACACGTGTGTACCGTACCAAATTTAATGGAAATCGGGTAATTTTTGCTAAAGTTATCTTGCTAACGGATTATTTTTAACGGATTGTGTTTTTGCCTCTGAGGACATCAAACTAAAAAATAAATCGGCCCCAAGTCCAGGTTTTACCAAGAGACCTACGGTAACAGCTTTACTCCCTAACTTATATGGGAAATCGATAAAAGAAACCTTGATAAAGAAGTTCAGTCACATTTTCCTTAAAAGTGTTTTTGTCAGAAAAACTTGATTGGCGAAAGCTTTACAGGCCCTAAAATATTTCCTACAAAACCAAACTACAACATAATAGTATATT